TGGGTTTCTGAGACTCTTCACTTTTTACAGGATTTGAAAACCTCTTCTTTCTCCCACAGAGTGGCTGATGATTTCAAACTACTGCCTGGTGGTTTGCAGCCCAACGTTGAACCCACTCTGTTGTCAGGGTTTCTACCTTGATATTTCTCACTGACACCATGCCCATCCTGACTCACAGTGACCTAGAGGACACAGTAGAACTGCCCCTGTGGGGGTTCTGAGACTGTAACCTTGCTGGTCCAGAAAGCCATAGCTTTCTCCCCACAAGGGGCTGGGGGTTTTGAACTGCTGACCTTGTGGTTAGCAGCCCAATATGTTACCATTATGCTACCAGGGCTCCGACCTTTACATATGGTAAGCTAAAACGTACTGTCTTTTGTGTATAATTCTTGCAATGTAATGAAATACAGCGCATCTAGTTTTGCTTACTTTTGATATGACAGTTTTGTTCCACAGCTAACCGGGTCTGTCACCAGGGAGAATGTGTAGTATACATTCTCTTTCTTTTTCTGGCATACCTGTCAGATACATTTTCCTTACCCTGGTGGTACCATGAGTTACGTGCTGGGCTGTGAACCACAGGGTCAGCAGTTGGAACACCAGCCGTTCCATGAGAGAAAGGCTCAACTGTCTGTCGCTGTGAAGATGCGCAGCCTGGGAGCCTTGGGGACAGTTCTGTCCTGTCCTAGAGGGCCACTGTGAGTTGGCATCTACTTGGCAGCGGTGGGTTTGTTTGATTTTCGTATATTAAGCTCTACTCTGCCTCACATCTTGATTTTATTTGTGATGAATTTGATTATTTGTAATCAATACACTTATAAAAAGCTTTCATATTTTACCCCAAAATTACACTTTAAAAGATTTTAAAAGACATTTATTTGTATGTAAGAGCTACAGTCAATATCATGGAAATATCTTAGTGCAGTAAAATATATACCAATTTAATTCCCATCTGCCAAATTTGACATGAGTCTGTGTTATGGTTCAAATGATTTTTTTTGCGTCATTAATGTGTAGATTACAGGTTAGATGGCTTTCTCAATGTGTTATATGCAGTATGTCATTTGTGGCATAGGAAAATTGGAGTGCATTTGCACCAGATTTTAAAGAATTGGACGAAAATGTGGAATACGAGGAAAGAGAATCCGAGTTTGATATTGAAGATGAAGATAAGAGTGAGCCTGAGCAGACAGGTAATCAACTGCAGTTGGTGTTTCCTGAAGGAAAAGTGATTGCTTTATATAGGACTGTCTCTCAATTTGTGTTGCAAATTTACTTCAGCACTTCGTCTTAAATCACCCCCCCCACACACACACACACATACATTTCAAGTTTACTAATAACTTTCTCAGTGGTTTGAGAGTCTTAATTTATAAGGTATTAACGAAAGGCTTACATGGGCGTTACTAGACTTAAGCACCTCTCTGAAGTTTGAAGTTTCTAATTTCCTGATCCACTGCACCTGATCCAGGGAGGAGTTATAATCCAAGCACATGCTCAGTGTGTGTCTGTGCTCTGCCGCTGCTGCGAAGTCAGCCAGCCTGGGGGAATGCGTATTCTTAAATCTTGACCTTTCTTACCTATAAACTTAGAAAATAGAGGTGTTAATTTCACCTGCCCATTAGGATTGTGGGGAACAAATTAGATAATTCTGGTAAAGCACTTAAAATATAGTACCTAGCTATTACATTTTGCTTCGCCCCCCCCCCC